AGATCATGTAATTTCATTTCGTCTTTTTCCAGCAACATATTACAGTCACTGGTCTCCAGAAATCATATTAACTTATAATCAACCATGTCAACGTTCTGCTTAAATGGCCTGGATGATTTTTTCTCCTGTTGACTGAATAATGCTTTGTGCTGGGAATCTGTGGGGATTTTTTTGTTGTTGCTATTTTTGTTTATTTATTTTATGTGTATGCCCAAAATAGTCTGAGGCACCGACAAAAGTCACCAAAAAGTCATCATCATTTGTAGTCATTGCTCATGCGACCGTTCTGCCAATAAAGCGTGCCAACGTGGCGCACTGTCAATATTAATGAAGATGATGCTCCAAATATGATGACCTGACAGCAACAACAACATGAGGGGAGCAGAACGCATTTTTTTATTTTTTTATAGGATGTGGCTCTGTGCTTAAGAAGCGTGAGGGGCCTGGTTTGATAAAAGGTCTGGGGGTTGATACAGAGAGAGAGAGAGAGAGAGAGAGAGAGAGAGAGAGAGAGAGAGAGAGAGAGAGAGAGAGACTTGATTGAAATGGCGTGTGCCTGGCTGACGGGAGCCAGTGAGGGACAAAGCCTCTGCGAAGCCACGGCCACTCGAGCAATTATTCCTCCACGCTGCATTTGGATTAGTGCAATGGAAAGAAGCATATGTTTGGCCCGGGGCGACACTCCCCCCCTGGCTGACTGCAGAGGATGCAGGGAGAGACACAGAGAGAGGGGCTGAGAGAGGGAGAGAGAGGGAGAGAATGACAAAAAACTGGAATATAAACTGCATTAACGGAGTGGGGAAACATTAACACAATTTTAATCCGCTCATTTTTCATATATTTGGAGTATACACAATCCCGTTTTTTTCCCCCTCAGACCTCGGTGCTTGATGGGTGACTAGAGGGTAACAATGATTCCTGATAAGTGCTGTCAGAGCGTACAAATATTGTTTATCGGGTTCAAAGTGGCAAAAAAGAAACAAACATAAACACAAGAAATACGTAGAATGGAGGTGTGTGAAGAAATGTGTGTGGGGCCCTTGCGTAATTTTGCGCAAAGATGGCACACCTCTAATTTTGTGTGAATGAGCCACATTGCGGTCGAATTATCGAGCTCCAACGCCTATCAGGAGTCCCTTTGTTTATTCAAAGTCACTTAATGTTTTCTAATCGATTACCTAATGTCTCAAGTAATCAAGGGCGATTTGGTGAAGTCATTGACCTCTGTTGGCTTCATAGCCCCGGCTCGCAGAGTGGGCAGGGGGCCCATGGGGGGTCAGCGCCAGGCCGGAGTAAAGGGGGAGGGGGGGGGAAAGCTAGCCCCCAGTTGACGGCTGATGTCAGAGTTGAGGACAATTAGCCATTTTGCGCTTCATTGCAAACTTTAAAGTCACATAATTCGATTGCACCAATAGCCATATCAAATGTCATTCAGAGGGACCCTGCGTCTTGGCCCAGCCACTTATTATTACGCCGGCAGTTTGAAATGTTAGTGACGACAAAAAAAAGACAAGTAGCTCCACTTAAAAGCACTACTTTAGCAGAAATTCTATCTGTATTTTTTAAGACTTTTCCCCCCATCTTAGTATTTCCCACTCCTTTTATCAAAACATTTCCTTTCCATCAATGAAGACAAACTTTCCAGCACTGTGTGGACACTCATCCTGTGCGAAGGACGACATTTTTTTTCTCCACCTCCAAAGTAGTGCGCAATAAAAATCATTCAACAATCACTTCAATCTCTATCAGACTCAAACCCCTCTGTTTAAATGTCAAGAAGACAGCTGCGCTTGAATCAAATTCCAGCCATACCAATATAGCATTTCTGACAGTGCAGTGAACAAATCTGGGCCTTATAGGCTGTTGCCCTATATCTCCCCATGCAGGCGAGGCAGCTCCAAAGCATTGCCTCCGAGCGTTACAGCGCAGACTGTTGTAGTGATGCTGCCACAGGGTAATTAGGCCATGCAGACAGTCCCTTCACCAAGCAATGATCTCAGCAGTATTACCTAAATACTTTCTGACCACACACACAAAAAAAGAAGTAACAGGACTGATGAGAACAGCGGTGATGTGCAGCTGGTTGCAGATGAAAAGTTACATCCCCGACAGACAGTGATCAATAGGAGGCGACTAGTATGAAAATAAAAAAAAAAATACTTGGAGTATGAGAACACAAGCATTCATTTTCTCTTTTACATTAATCTTCCACATCTTTATCTTTATTATTATTATTATTTGGAGCTACAGATTTAGCCTTAAACTAAGATTTGTGCAGCCACAGAGGTGGTTTAACTGACTGTCTGTTTGTCCTTCATTACATCTCTGCTGCAAACTATAAATACCAACAGAGCTCCAGCCCACTGAACCTGTCTTTAAACAGCAGACAAATACTGTGTGAAATCAACAGACACACGGATCGAGCACAAAAACGCCTTTCACCTGCGCAAGCAGCATTTTGTTTCACATATTCTCACCGAACATTTGATAACAACAGGCCTCACACTTATTAATTACTATACGGGAATCAGCTGTAATTGGTTTAGTTGAGACAAGCAGCAGTTATGGATTGAATTATCCAAATTCAGCTGGGTATTGCTTACTGGCTCTTCAAATTTCAGACCTTTTTTTTTCTTTTTTCTTTTTTTTTTTGCAAATGACTTTTGCCATGAGGCATTTGGAGAAACTGGCTCTACCTGTTTAAGATCAAATTAAGGTGGGGGGGGGAGGTAAAATTACAATTTTTGCGTTTAAAAAATGTATGCAAATTATATGCTGGTATCAGTGCAAACAAACGACAAGAAACAATGGGAGTTTCTTTAACGCTCACAATTCCATTACACAGAAAGACATAATTACAGGCCTTTCGATCCTCCTCATCTTACACTAATAATGCGCGCAAATATCCACCATTGTCACACATACAACTATTTCTAATGCGTTTGTCTCACCCTCAAAAACCTGTTTTCATTCAAGCAAACCCCGATAAATTTATTAAAAGACATTAGCATTAATGACACACGCGAGGAGCTTCCTTTTTCTCTTTTTCTTTCTTTTTTTTTTTTTTTTTTTTTTTGCGCTAATACCAATGAATGCCCGTTTTTAATACGATTGTTTTCCCCCCTTAAAGTGACTATTTATGCTATTCCCACCTCACATCCACCATAGCAGGAGCAGCCGGGTAGTCTCTCCCCTTTATGAGTGAGCTATTGTGCCTGAGGACAGGATCCCACACACAATCTGAGGACTGAGCCAACAAAAACAGGGCCTGACAGACAATGCCTCGCTTCACCTGCTCCAGCACTGTGCATCGCAATTATGCCAAGGACATGTACAGTTAGGCTTCATTCACCCTCCTGCAAAAAAAAAAAAAAACAACTGCCTCAGAATTAAACCAAGGGCCCGAAAATCATGCAGATAATAAATACGGCTGCTGAGGAGATTGGAGGAAGAAGAAGAGGGAGGAGGTGGAAGGAGGAAAAGTAAGGGGAGGGGGTCGCCCAGTGTTACAATATTTTAAACTGCATGGTTACCAGACAGTGAAATAGGGAAAGCAAGAAACAATACCAAGATGCATATATCAAACAGACTGATTCATGCTCCAGACGAGATTGATTCCGAGCTATAGGTACCACGCCATCAATATACAATCAAACTCAAATGTTATGCAACGGCTCTGTGCAGCTCTGCACGCAAAATAAAGCAAAGGCAGAGCGTCAGATTTGCTGTTACAGCCAGGGTTGATGTCCACATTTATAGAGGCAGTCAGCCCAAACACAACCAAAAGAGGAGAAAATTTAAAAAAGAATAGAGATTCATTATGAAAACGTTATGATTAGATCATGAAGAATACATTAAAAAAAAAACCCTGCACACTGAGCTCTGATTGTTCATTGATTACACTGAGAGGCAAACAACATAACAAATATTTGATGCATGTCTTTGAATAAGACTCCAGCGCAGAATAAACGGGGATGGGGTGGGAGAGGAGAGGAGGGGGGGAGAGAGAGAGCCAAATATAGCCTATAACAACCAAACATTGCACACCAGGCCTATATACATCTCAGAGGGTTTTAGCTGGAGGGGTGGCACTGCACACTTCAAACGCGAATATATCCATTGTTGTGAGCCATTTGGCCTGCATAAGATCCTGTGCTCTGAACTAGGGAGTTTAAAGTAAGATTTTTTTATTTATTTATTTTTTATTATACTTGAGGGAAACAATGAGTTCAGCTGCTTATTGCAAGGAGCAATCGTCAGGGGAGACTTAAACTCAATTACTGTAGCCGTTCAGGATGGGAAAAAAAAATACCAAAAACAAAAAATACAGAAAAGAAAAAAAAAAAAGAAAAAACACCCGCGTGTATCAAGCAGTGAATAAAAAATTAAAAGATATGAATAAAAATCGAGATGAAGCGTATCAAATATTTATTTTTTTCTGGGCAACAAAGGACTATAATACATTGACAGGCATAGGAACTATTGCCAGCACATGTCTATACAATACAGCTAAAACCGCCTCCAATTTTGGACATTATCGGACATAACAAGATATCAGGTGGTCCCAAAAAATGTTTTTGAATGTCTTCGAACATTGAAAAAAAGACAATATTCCATTTATTGCTTTTATGGTGCTTCAAGGAGAGAACAAGAGGTGAAACGTATTCTGATTGGCACAACACATAAAAGCTTGTATAAAAACGAAAATAGAAACACAAAAAAAAAAGAATTCTCCTCGGGGTCTCACTTATGCTCTGTCTCAAATAAAAATAAATTTAAAAAACTGAATAAGGATGATATATAGAGAGAGAAATGGAAGTTTATTTCTATTAAATTTGTTCACTTGCTTCAATGTCGCCTCAACATGCTACAAGAGGGCTGAATTGAAATATCCCAGAGAAATAAAAAATACCCCAAACTTCTGTTTTTCTAAGAACCATAAAATCACATGAAGAACTAACCGAATATTCAAACCCACTAAAACAGGAGGCACCAGATAAATTAAAAAAAAAAAAAAAAAAAAAAAAAAGAAGTTTCAACAGACGCACCATATTTACAATTCCCATTAAATTACACATAAATAAATATATACATACATGAACACTGATTCCCTTATATAACCGCGAATCGTGTTGAAATTCAAAAAGTTCAAGTTGGTCGCTTGGAGAGAGAGAGAGTGTGAGAGAGTCTACAACTGAAGTCATGACATGGAGATCTGTGGCATTTCTCTTTGTTTTTCAAGTTTATTATTCACAATACTGATAAGAATTCATCCTTTTTTTTTTTCTTAAGCTTCGTTTTTGTCACAATCGTAAAATTGAGATATAGAGGGGTCGCTGGATTTCAGTCCATTCGTTGCAGCTCATAAAAAATAAGGGGAGTACATAAAAAGTCCTCTGGGTGAGGCAATACACCTTTTTCCTCGCCCTGGAGCTGTTCCTCCGCAGCTTTTTTTTCTTTTCTTTTTTTTCTCCTTTTTTTTTTTTTTTTTAAATAACATTTCATATGGTTCAGGTGTTGGAAGAAGAAGAAGAAGATTCTTGCGTCGTTTCCCCTTGAATCCAAAGTGGGATGTAAAAACAAAAAAAACATGTAAAACCGCGCAAGATCGGGAAGTGGCACGTTTAACTTTATCAATAATATTTATAAGGTATTTATAATATTTATATTGGATGGGTGGGGGGCCGGGGCAAGGCGGAGGGGCGTGGGTCGGTGCAGGAGGAGGGCCCCGGGGTCTGGACCCTCGGTGGAGGTGGGATGGAAACATCACTTTCTGTGCTTCTCGTCTTTGTCTCCGCCTTTAGTGCCGTTATCTGAGTGACTGTTGGGGTTGTTGTTGAGGTACATTTTGTCCATGGCTTTGATAGCCTCGGTCAGATAGTTCTGCAGGGCCGTGACGGCCGCGCAAAGCGCCGGGGTCCCGAAACCGTGCGAGATTAGACTGAAGTGGGTCAAACAGCTCTGGATTCCCGGTTCAAGAATGGGCTGTGGCCGTGAGTTTCCAAGCGGCGAGCGGTCCTGGGACAGCAGGTCTGTGAACTCTTTGCAGACTTGCCTTAAAACAGACAGAGAGGGAGCGGGTGTTAATGGCCAAGTCAGAAAATCCCTGCATGCATTTTAAAGTCCTGATAAAAATAAATCAAAGTGGACATGCTGCAGAAATAACCAGCCCTGCGGGAGGGCCAGCTTGTAAATTCTGATTTTGCTTAAAGCGAGTGAAACGTAGCGACCAGGTGACACAGACGTCTCCCTGTAGTTTATATATATATATATATAAAGAGAGAGGGAGAGGGAGGGAGAGGGAGGGAGAGACAAAACCTCAAAACCTGCTTTGTTCCCAAAATTAACACCTGGGTAAAGTCAACGTCCTGGAGCTACAAACAGGTGGAAACTAATCTCTCAGCCCATTGCCACAATTTTTTCGTTCAATTTTTCCAATTTTTTTTTTTTTTGGGGGGGGGAGCAATAACTAAATAAGTAAAAAAGAAACACTGACTGTAAAATACACGTGCAGTGTCAACTTTACAATATAAAAGAACCATGACTCCATGCTTTCATCTCCTTTATCTCCATAACGCACATCTGAAAATCTGAAAATGAATTCCATTTTTTTTTTTTTTTTAAAACAGCATCAAAATGTGTGTTAAGGCAGCTCTCCTCTGCATTTCATGGTGTTGGTATCTTAACAGCACTTAGGAAGCCTGTAATAAGCGGTTATGGCTGACAGCTGTTTGATTATAGCAGCCCATCATCAATATTAAACGCTGGCCTCTGCCTCTCTATGCCTTGTGAGGAGTTCCCATGTTTTTAGTTAATGCACAGTAAACACCAGTGGTAGCGCTGGAGGAAAACCAGCCCATGTGTCAGTGTCACTGAAATCATCCTGTAAACAAAAAAAAAACAAAAACAAAAACGCTGCTGTGCCAGTGGACGAGGGAGAGGCCCAGTGAAGCAACACTGTAAGGTTTGCGATTCTGATTTACAATATCATATAGAAGCACCTGTTTTGATCATAATAATAATAAAGAGCGTCTGAATGAAATCCATAATTAACAGAGATGAGAAATGTAAAGTTTAAAAAAAAACTTCTGGTGTTAATTATTACTAAGTTAGCCAGTAATAATATTGGAAGGGTATTTTATGATCGACATAAAGCCAATATATTAATATATATATATAAATATAATCTGAACGTATCCAACTCATGCAAGTGTGAAAGCTGCATTTTAATAGTCATGAATGTGTACGCAAACTGTTAAATGCACACACACATACACACACACACACACACACACAAACACACATTGGCACAGACTGGGATGCATTTGGTGTGACACAGTGAAATGTGATAATAGCACTTACTTTGTGGCCAATAGCATGTTTTTTCTTTGGACTTGTTCGTTTGGGTCGGAATGCTGACGGTTTACATATTCAGCTACTGCCTTGGCTGGAAACTCGGTCTCGCATACATAACCAAAATCCCTGGCAAGATGCACCGCTTCGCCTGAGAAAGACAGAAGGAGGGGGGTAAAAAAAAAGAGGTTGAATATGTTTGCTTATTAAATATGGTTACATCAAATACAGAGACTCCCCTGCCTGGATTAACACATGATGAATCTGATGTGAACGCAGCGTCCACTCTGTTTACGCGCTCAGGCAGCAGGGTTATGGCACCTGTGCGTTCCCTACAACGTTAATGGTGGTGATACGACAATAATAGGCTGCAAATGACAATAAAAACAGCCGCTGTGAGCTGTCAATACACCACTTCTTCCCTTTATACCGTGAGAACGCGTAAATATGGAGGAGGAAACTATAAGTGGATATGAAATATGGACGGAGCGTCATGCTTAACACCATGTCATTGATTACCAATGCCTGCACATTATTGAAAGTACAGCAGATCACAGAGGCATTGGGAAGCAATTTTAAAGGGCTATACCTAAATCTCACTTTGCCTTTACATACTTTAGCTATGAGAATTACAGGTTTCATTCCGTCCGAGTCTGGGCTCGCCGCTCTTGTTGGTTGTTTTTTTTTTCTTTCTCAAGGTCTTTTGGTTTTAATTTCCTGAAGCACTTGAGTTTTTTTGTTGTTTTTTTTTTTTTACTGCGGGGCTTCCTGCCCATAAGCCTCTGCTCCGGAAGAACGCATGCGCCAATTAGCATCAAAGCTCGAGTCCAGTAAACTATTTTCCATAAAATTGAGCGGATCATAAACAATGACAGCACACAAAACGCACTGTCCTTCCACTAAATAACCGGCTGGCCCCCACTTCTTTCATTCATCCTTCCATGCATCCACCACGACCACCATGTGCCACCACCCCCTTATTACCCACAATCAAACATTTCTCCAGGCTCATTACAATACATGACCAAATTTTTACGAAACACAATGAATATTGCATTCGGCCCCCTCTTCTGCAATAATGATTAACGGGGACCAATGAACCATCGCAGGCTTTCACCTTTGGAAAACCAGCAGCAGCACACCAAATACCACTGCACTGAATAATAAGGTTCAACTCTGCACGCAAAATGGATTTATCCAGTCGCGTAAAAGGCATCTTTTCTGCGCGCAATAATTGACTAATTTATTCTTTAATAGGCCCAAAACATATAGCTCCCAATAGGTCAGCGCGACGCCATTTGCATGCAATAAAAAACATTCAGAGAACCAACGCATGGGAAGCTATTAACAAAAGAATTAAGTCACCATTTAATATTAAAAATAAAATCCGCCCTGCACTGCTATATGGCGACTGTATTTGAAACAATGTAGGGTTAATAAATCAATCGACTTCTCATCCATGAGGTGAAACAACTCAGCGGTGCCCAATAAACAAGCAGCACTCAATAATTAACTGGACTTCAACACAAATTAATCCAGTGTATAAACTAGGCCAGCCGTGGACCTGCAAGTGTGCTCCTGAAAGCGAAGGCCAACGCTGCAAAGCCACTAGAATTACCAGCACCATTCTCTCTCTCTGTATGTGTGTGTGTCTTTCTCTCTCTCTCTCTACACACACACACACACACAGACACACACACATCCTTCATGCTTTATTACTTGCGAGGCAAAGTCGGTCCACATTACACGGATGAGCGCATATGCTGATTTCCAACACAGAGAAAGAAAGAGAGAGAGAAGAGGAAGAGAGAGCGAGAGAAAAAAAAATCCAGTTTGCAAGCACCTGATATCGCGGGAGCAACAAGAGTGGGAACGTGATTTACGGCACCCGGACTTACCTTCGACTAGTGACGTCAGCAAGGTGACGTTGGCTGCCTTGCGTCTGCCTGCAGGTAGATTCAAGCCGATTTTATCCAGCTTCTCCCTTAAGGATCTGCCTCCGTTCTTGGATTTGGCCCTGTGACAGTAAAACAAAGCAAAAATTCATTGTAGTGATGCTCATGTGGAGGAATTTTATTTTATTTTTCTGCAAGGGAGGGAGGGGG